TGTTGCTGCTGCGGTTGTTGCTGAGCCTGCATGACTGCAAGGGCCCGACGTGGGACGGGAGGACGCGAGGCCACGAACGAGGAAGCGCGACACCAGAATCGACGACACGCTGTTATAACGAACTCGGAGAGCTGCGTCCGGGATCGCGACTTTCAACAAATGCACTTACGTCGAATCACGACTCGATGCTCGATACGCACATTAGCGCGATTCTCACGCGCGCGCCATCATGATTCCTCCTCGCGAGAGAGCGCCAGAAACTCGAGAGTCATACTCGGCTATCTTCGGCAGGTGTCGCGCGACCGATCGTCATCGGCGACAGAGCCGGGCGACGAACGAAAGGGAGAGAGAAGATATTCATTGTCCGAGAATCAACCTCGTCGAAATGAAGCGTATGGGAGTGAAATGAATGTAAAACATGGCTTATACATAGCGAACATGTGTAAAGCAGCCACTTCATTACTTCCCCAGTATATTTTGTAGCATTTTCTTAATTGCTTAATAAATATTTTAGTTATTAGACTTATGATTGAATTGGGATCATAATTAAATTTTAATAAAAAAAGATTGTAATAAATACTATATAGTGTTTATCATAATCTTTTTTATTAAAATTTAATTATAATCCTAATTAAAAAAATTAACTAAAAAATTTTTTATATTATTTATATGGAAGGATTTTCTCAGACTAACTATAATGGATTTAACATGGTGCGCGGGATAATTACTCATATATGATTTTTTATATGATTTTTTTAGAAATATAAATTTCTATATGACATTTAAATTATATACAAAATGAAACTTTTAAATATTTTTATACTTTAGTAATAAAATATTTTGATGCTATTGATTGATAATCAGATCAAAAATGTTTGCATTATCTTCTAGATTATCTTTGGACAATTATCACATAGTTCTTTGATATACATTTTATTATACATTTTTTAATAATGAGTTTTAAACAGAACAATGCTGTTAGCAAGCTGATAGTACGCACCCTAGATGAACATCGAATGATTACAAAAAAATTTTTAAAAAGCATCTTTAAGATATTTTTTCATGCTGATGCTCGATGTTCATTTTTAGTGTAAAAATAGAACGTGTGATCAAAAGTGACCATTCAAATTTCATTATTCTGCGTCAACTTTGATCATGTGATTTATTTTAACATTGAAATTGAGCGTCGAGTGTCAGCATAAAAAGGCACCTTTAAAAAACACAATCGGCATATTTTGGTATGTTCTAAAATTCACTACTGATAGTAAAAATCTATAGTTCATGTAATGTATATTCACAGTATAATAACTAATATGGGCACTTAGTAATGAAATCGCGCAAATTTACTCGCACAGGCCATGTTGTTAGATGCCACCAATAAAATTAAATACGACGTAGGAACGTACATAGATGTAATTTACAGATCAACTATAGTCATAGACCGGTATCGATCAGTCAGTTCTTATATTTAAGATGGTCTTAAGATAACATTTCAATCAACAGGATAGCTGTATGAGCTTATTTAAAACAATCTTAAATATAAGAACTGACTATAAATACCAGTCATAAATACAGCATGATATAGCGTAGGATTCTTATTATTCCTATTCGTCCCTGCTTTTTCGTTTATTAACATGGCGGAATGGTCACGTGACACACCACACAAAGATCAAAGGTATCGACACAAGTGCCCATACAGGTTATACCGTGCGCATGTTAGCGCTTTCATCTAGATATTCTGTGTATAGAGACCTATAGTTTCGATCGTTCCGACATTTTAAAATTCTTGAACCACCGGCAAATCGCCGGCGAACCGTCATCGTCCGTCACGTTGCGACGTCACGCCACGTTCTCCCCCACCTTCGCGGAAACTTGCTAAGACTATATAATTTTCTTTCGTTTCGTTCCCAATCCTTCGCGGCTCGTCGGCACCGTATGGTCGTGTGTTCTGTCTCGACTCTTTTACAGATTATTTGCAAATTAATTATGGCGGAGAACAACGAGCGTACTTTCATTATGGTTAAGCCGGACGGCGTGCAACGTGGTTTGGTCGGCAAGATTATTCAACGATTCGAGGAAAAGGGTTTCAAACTGGTGGCTATAAAAATGTTGTGGGTAAGCAATGCAGTTTACGTACAACTCTACTCACGTTTCAGTTCTATGCGGATCGATAAAAAAAATTGACAAAATTCTACGCCACGTGGCGAGATAGTGCGTTCGGAGATATGTTAACTATATTCATGTAATATTTCATACATCGTCAAAGTTATTAATTTCGCTTTTTGTTTCGAATATTCGTCCGTATTGACAAGTGCGAAATATCTCGATAGAAGCGAATGTCGAGTAATGGCGATTCGCATTCAAACCTGGTATCTATAGATAGATCAATCAATTGGATTATTACTAATAGAATTTTATCTTTCGTAAGAAGTTATATATAGCATAACTATATATAGTAAAGGCAATCGATTTATCAATAATCTCAAAATTGAGACAGTAAAATGATTTCATATATCCACTTTATCAAAGAGTATCCTTTCTACAGAGTCATACTAAGCAGATGAAGGACGTTCTATGTTCTAAGGATGTCTTTAGGATAAAATGTGATCAATGCAAAAAATGATATGAGATGTATTTCATTGCATGTATTATTGCAGATATAGAAAAAATTTGATATAATAACAACAAACAAAATTTAAATTCAGGCAAATTGCAATCAATTGCATTTCAAAATCAGATCTTGTTTGTTTATTAATTATGCTTAATTTTTAATTTTTGTTTTTAAATTTAAAAATTTTGTGTTTTAAATTTTTTAAGTTTTATCAATGCTTACAACTAATTAAAAATATAATGCATTATAAAAATATAATTAGAAATTTATCTTATTAAATATAGACAAAAATAATAAAAGATGTAAATATGGGAATATAATTTTAAATTTATATATTACATTTTTGTTACAGCCCAGTGAAGAACTTTTGAAACAGCACTATGCTGATCTGGCATCGAAACCTTTCTTCCCAGGATTAGTCAAATATATGAACTCAGGACCTGTTGTATCGATGGTAAGTTTGTTATAATAATCATAATTATGATTAAATCAATTAAATCATATGCTAATACACTAATATACTAATAAATTTTTATATTAATGTTTATTAATAATTTCTATTAAAGAATTGAATATATTGTTTTATGATATTATTTCGTTAGGTCTGGGAAGGTTTGAATGTTGTGAAAACTGGCCGTGTAATGTTAGGTGAAACAAATCCTAAAGATTCTGCACCTGGCACGATACGTGGTGACTTTTGTATACAAGTTGGACGTAATATCATTCATGGCTCTGATTCTGTTGAATCAGCCAAAAAGGAGATTAATTTGTGGTTTGGTGAAAAGGAAGTGATCGACTGGACACACGCATCTGAAAAATGGATCTATGAATAAAAATCTGTGGCAAATACGAACATTTTTTTAGAGAATACTATCTCTCTATAAATCTTTCCTTAAAAGGTCTTCCCAAACCTACTGCCAGTCAAATTGTGTACAACCAACTAAAATCATCAAGAGCAAAGTTGAAATTCTAAAAACAATATACAAGTTTGTGAGAGAGAATAAAAGAATGAATGAATGAATAAAAACCTGCTGAACTTGAAAATTCTGTTCTATTATAAAATTAAAATTGTGAAATAAGAAGATACAAATTGTGCAAATAATTCTTATTAAAATTATTCACATAGATGTAGAAAATATAATGAAATATTAAAAAAATTAGCTATTAGAAATTTATAAAAAGGAAAAATTGTCATAGAAAAATTAGAAAGAAATTTGCTGCCAAAATTTACAAAAAACGAAAGATGTAGAAAAAATTAGCTCTATCAAAACTTATTAAGAAGTTACTACAAAAAGCTTAGCTGCCGAAACTTATAAAAGAAAAGCTAATATAAAAAATTAAAAAGTTAGCTGCTGATGTTTAAAAAAGAGGAAGTGCTGTAGAAAAATTGTAAAAAATTAGCTGTTGAATCTTATAAAGAAAATTAGCTGTTGAATCTTATAAAGAAAGAAAAGGTAAAATATAAAATTTAAGCTATAAAAAATTTAGCTACCGAAACTTACAAAAAAGACTCCTATTAACAAGACTCTCTTAAACAAATTTAGGAAATGAATTGCTTGATGCAAATTGTATGAAACAGAATAGTAAAGTAACGAAAAATTATAAAGTACAAAATTTGTTAATTTAATCGT